TTACCATGTTATTTTAGTTATGATCAATAAATTGAAATTTTTATGTAAAGCTTTTGATATAAAATAGGTATTGTTATGTTGTGTTTAGTGTGATAATAATAAGAATAGAAAGAATGACAATTATTATTACTATTGTTGGTATTACTAATATTATTACCATTATTGGTATTATTATTATTATTGTTAAGGAGAGTAATATGTAAAATAAGAAGGATAAGCTTATAATTATGAATAAGAAGACATCATATGAGGGAGTACAAATCGTAATGATATGTAAAGTGAGGAACTAATTTTCTTAAGGTGTACTGACAAGATTAGACTAAGAATAGAAAAGCTGTATCATGACTCAAGGTAAATAAAAGCATTAAACATATTTCTTTTCTGTGTATAAGTCAGATTTCACTAAGTTGGTGCTAAATATTTAAGCTATAACTATTACGTGTAATCTTAAGTCTTTCGGTTTACTAATCTGAATTTGATATACAAATGAGAAGCGACCTTTAAACTTGATGCTAATAAACATGGGATAAAGCTGTTTGAGTATGGCCTGTTATTGTTGTTATTTTTATCGCTATAAATACAACACAACAACTCTTATTTTTTATTTTCTTAAAGAGAGTGTTACCTCCATAAGTCAATTATTTATTTGCTTACAAGCACTATATTAGTTGAAACTGAAAGGTTTTTACAACTTCCATCTTATATTAAAAGTTTTAATCAAAACTCCAGTCTAATGAGTTGGATTGTTTATAACTGGTGCATCATCAATGAGTGAACAATGTCATCTTTATCTATTCCTTTAGCCTTGGTCAAGTAATTTAAACTAGCGATCATATTTGTGCAATAGAATTTGATCATTATTATAGGGTTAGATAAATATCACTAGTCTACTCAGTAGTCAGTCAATTGTAAATATCTCTTAGTTTTATAAGAGGTCAACAGAAGCCTCGAATGCTTCAAAAATAATATTTTAGACTGTTGATTCGGGTGACTTAAGATCGAATTCGTTAGGAGGCATTAGTTCTCTCAGCAATTTCAGATACACGTTATTGACAAGTATCAAATAACAAAGAGTCCAGATTCAGTTGTGGGAAAGTTACTCACTGATGACAATGATGGACGGTGGCATAAGTTCTTGGATTGGTTAAAGTTAGACATTAACACAGTTGGATGCTGACTCAGTGGTGTACAGGTTAAGCGTTCGCCCATGAGACTGATAGGTCCAGTGGTTCGAATATTATGAGGCGAGATCGTGGATGCGCACTACAGAGGATTGCCATACTGGGACGAAACAGCCGTTCAGTGCTTCCAGGCTTTTCATGGTGGTCTAGTTTCAATTGACTTATGAATTCAACTATTAACTTACGATAATATCCACAAAACCACTCTCTGATTAAAATATTTATTTGTAAAAAATTGTTAAACTAAAAATATAAATTAACATTATTGTGGAAGTTTATTTCTGTGTTCACATAGTAAACATTAAAAACCTCATTTGAAGTAGAGGTCAACTAGACAGGTTAAGGGTAAGTCATAACAAAGGAAAAATAATAAAGTACACAAAAACAAATGTGATTACCACTCTGGATAATAAATCAGTATTACCAGGGTAGGTTAAGTTTAAGGACAAATTGTTTTTTGAACACATTAAGGGGGTTTTAATTTCCGGATAGCCAAGGCTTCAATAAACCTTAGGTTCTTAAAAAGTATATGTGTGATCAGATTGTTCGAAATGTAGAACAGTAAATACAATAATATAAAAAGATTATTATGTTGCTAAAATTTATTTATATCACATATTCTCCAAAATATTTCAAAAGTTAGTTAAACATAAATTCTGATTGTTTTCTATGGTTTCATAGAGTGACTTCTCTCATTTAATAATCTACAGTTATCCTTTTTGTGATTAAAGTACTCATATCTCATTAGATTTCTGTATGATTTCGATAATATAATAAGAAGACGAAGATTATCAGAGTTATGTGATGTATTAGCGCAATACATTTCGAACAATCTGATCACACATATACTTGTTAAGAACATTTATCTATAAAAATAAAAGGTCAAGTAGACTGGAAATGGTGTAAGAGGAGATAAGGATAATAACAATAAGAGTAACAATAATCTGAACACAATTCGAAACCTAATCACTCTTGATAATTAGTCAACATTACCAGGGTAGGTTTAAGGTAAGAACAAACAGTTTTCGAACACACAAAGGGGGTTTGAATTTTCGTATGGCTAAGGCTTCAATAAACCTTAGTATACGCCCTTTTGCACTTTTATACAAAACCACAAAAGCCGAGTTTAGATCAATCTTATGGCCTGTTTCAATTATATGTTTAACAATAGAGGATGATGGATGTTTGTCCTCTGCTCTTATTGGGTCACTTGATTGTATTTGTTTCTGCAACCATTTTGGTACGTGTTCACACACCCTAATTTTGAGATCACGATTGCTCCTCCCTGTGTATGTGTGACCACACACATATTTAAATTGGTAAACACAGTGGGATGTGACACAATTGCTTTCATGTCTTTTAAGTTTTGCATGAAGCATGCACCTTGTTCTTTCTTTGATAATGAGCTTTGCTGCGCAATACATTTTGTTGATGACTGATTTAAGTCGTTGTTTCAGTAAAAGGCTATTTGAATCACCTCTGAATGGTAAGGTGATGTAGACAGGCTTTTTTTTCACTAAGGCTACAGTAGGTCTCGTTGTACCATTGACCTTCCATCTATTTATGAATTTCAGAGGATAGCCATTTTCTATTAATGCTTTATTTAGCAACTTAACATCATCATCAATGGTGTCATTTGTACAAATACTATCAAGCCTGTTGAGTAGGCACCTTATCAAACCACGTTTATATTGCACAGGGCAATAATTATAATAACTAAGGTATTGGCCTATCCACGTCGGTTTTCTCAAAATGGATCGCTTGACTGAGCCATCTTCTCGTCTACTCAGAAGTATATCTAGGAAGGGGAGCTGATCGTTCTTCTTCTCCTCACATGAGAGACTGATATGGTTTTGGAGTGTTAAATTTAGTCAATACTTCATTCAATAATATCAGTTAGATTCATTAAATTGACACATTTAATTCAATAGTTATTAAAATCATGTTGAGTATTTTAATCAGATATGAAAAATTTTAATAAAATTTATTAATATACATGACATGAGAAAATAGAACTGTGTATGGTATTTTTTGGCACTTCATAAACCATGCCGGTAGATGTTCATTCATTCGTTGTTTAAGTTTCTTGGTAATACGGTCGATATAACTATCTCGACAGGAGCAGCTGAATTCGTAATGTACATTGAGGAGGCCAACTACTACCAGGCAACTTAACTAACGACTGAGTGAACATCTACCAGTATGGTTTATAAAAGGCCAGATAAAAATATGAGAAAATAGTTTAATAGTTTAAAATATATTTTAACAATTGGAAGGTCAAATTTTATATCAATTTTTATTAGAAATAAACATGTATATTCATAGGATCGTCGTTTAGGTGTATGATAATGATTTATCATGTTCTATAGAATTGAAATAATAATAAATCCATAAAGACCCAGAAACATTGAAAACACTTGCCATCACACTTCTTTTGATCACAGTTGTGATTTAGATTTTATCGATAATCATTACTATAAATAGTCAAAATATAACCATAAGTACAACTACACTGTTATTTGAACTACATAAGATAAATTTCAAGCTGAAATATTCAACCTCTATTGATTAACTCAAACTTCCCGACTGAATTATTTAATAAATAATATTTATAATTTTACTATTCCTGTTAATGTAAAACACATCTATTTCACTTATAACTGATCTTTAGTATGACTAATATATGACATCTGGTTAGTGTTTTTTTAGCAAGGTATTTTTCTACAGGATATGATTGCTAACCCTGAGCTTGGGAACAGTTTGGGAACTCTAGAGGAGCTACAGGTGGGAAACGGACAAGAGGAAGACCAAAGAACACACTGAATCTGAAGTTAAAAACAGACATAAAAAGCACAAAAAGCAACTGGAAGAGATTGTCTAAGACAGAGTTCGATAGACATTGGTATTGGGCGTCCTGTGTTCCTGAACGAGGGATAATAAGCTTATGAACTCAACTATTAAAAAGTCATATTATTTAATTCATAAATTAGTCATATTTTTAATGTCTGTATCCGGTAAGAGGCTAGCATAGGTTAATTTCGAATAATTCTACTGATATATTAGTAAATTCATCTTGATTATTATCATCATCATTACTTCATATCATTATTGACTAATTTATGTAAAATGGTATTTTTTGTCCTACAATCGTTCTAGGCTACTTATAGAAAAAGTATAGATGATAAATTAAAAGAAACAACATAAAAATCTATCGTACATAATGAACAATCATTTCGTGGTCCTATTACATATATATATTCTTGGCTTTTCAAGTGTATCCATAATTTTCAATAGAAATGTCAAGACTGTTCTACTGTCTACTGAGGCGGAAACGTGGATAACTACGAAAGCCATCATCCAGAAGATACAAGTGTTTAATAACAGTTGTGTAGGCATAATGATTTGTTAAAACAAACAAAAACAGATGACTTGTTCAAATATTTAGATGGCAAGAACAGGTAGACAAGATATTCGTCAGGTCACCAAGTATATTTTTATTGATCTATCTATACAATTCTTCAATAAGAAAGGAAGAGAGTTCAACGACTGTCAATAAACACTGCAGCTGACTGCACAAATACTAAATTATATAAAAACTACTGACTTTTACTAAAAGTGTATGATGATTATGTGTTTTCATTAAGGCATCATCAATGCTTCGTTTGGTGATCAATATATTATAATGAACAATCAAATTTGGAAAGAGAGCAAATAACACCTAATCATAATTTCTGTGAAATGCAACTAAAAACGCTAACGGACAAACAAATCTTTTTATAAAGTAAAGAGCATTAAAAAAAATCAAACCGTCATATTTACCTTTGATGGGATTGTCTTCTTGAGAAAATTGTTCACCATCACAATTGTTCGGTATCGATGTGGCGCATTTCTTATGTACCCATAATTTACAGTCTTTTTTTAAATCAATGAACAAAGCACCAAGATTTTTGTTAGTTTACTTATAGTTCTAATAGAACTATTTAATAACAAACATCCTGCTATTAAATTTACATGTGAAGAGGAAATAGATAACAAACTAAATTTCCTGGACGTTTAGTTAAGTAGAAAAGAAAATGGTTCTATCAGCAGAGGTGTGTATAGAAAAGGTTCTTCTCCAAGCCAATACACACACTTTTTAAGCTTTGTGCCTCTTCATTATGTATTACGGAATAGATTGACTAGAACAGTAAAGAGAACGTTTAATGCTGCCAACCTCTGCCTGTCGTATTCGACCCGATCGATGGTGATTCCGCAATTGAAGGATAAGTTTACTTATAAGCGATAAAATAATCACATAATATAAAATGGCATTTTCAGAATTAAACAATGAAGATAGTATGCTTTAAAATAACTGTTTTTGAATAGGAATTATATGGCTAAGTACCAAAATAAAAATACAGTACATGTTACGTATATATCACCAAAATATGTAATTATATATATATATTTGATGTAACGTGCTTGGAGGTGGTAGGTAGGTAGCTCTGAACTTGAGTCTCGTGCTGCTTGAAAGTCGCCATCACGATGCAATACTGAAGGAACTGATATTCCTTGATGGATTCAAACATGGGTCACTAGGTTTCACAGTCTGAGACGTTATCACCGGGCTGTTCAAACAGCCACTGATTTCCTGTGTGAAGGAGATGCTTACGCTGTTAAATAACTGCATACTGAACAATTCATATCATATTAACACTACGTTTATTATTATTACCAACAAAATCTTGATTATTGTAGTTGTTACTACTACACTACCTATTAACTATGGTCTAATAACAAAATCTTGAAAAACTGACTTTATGTTTCCACAAATTTTATGCCTTAACTGTATTTCGAGACGAGCTTATTGAAAGTCATATTTTCTTTGTACGTAATTTGCTCATGTGATAAATACATTAAGCGAAGGATAACACTAGAAATTCAGCATTTCGTCAGACCAAAGGTTAAAAAATGACGAGTGAATTTGAAGGTGTTGTACGATTGCCACAAAAACAACAATAATTGTCACCTTTTCAAAGTGTCAATACATGGAACTAACACTGTCTTCTCCAATATTCTGTACAATGTGGATTCTATCAATCACGCAGTCTTATCTTGGGTAATAAAACCTCTTTTAAAGTCACGTCTTATTCCTTCTTGCATATCGACGGCAAAATACAAGAGGGCGATGGTCAGTACGTGATGAGGTCTGAGAATTACGGGTTCAAAAATGTATAGAATTGTGGGTAGGTAATAACTAACCTTTACACTGTAAACCTTGCCGAAATAATCCGTGTAATAAACGATGACAGTTTTGACAAACAATAGGCTTAGCACTTCGTCTCAACTCGAATGTATGCGGAACTTCAAGTGGTTTTTCAATAACTTGTTGACTCCATAATGGTTTGCCTAATAGTATACTACTTTTTCTAAGAGGTGATGTATTGATTGGTTGAATTTGACCAATTTTAATAATTGTCTTATACCTTTGAATTGTTGTATTACTAAAAATAAAAGAATAGAAACATTTCATTTTTAATACAATATTTATACACTGCGCCGAGAATTCAAAGCAGATATCAAAAGGACGAATAGCAACTGGAAACAGTTAGAAAGAATTGTCCAGGAAAGAGTTCGATGGAGAATCCCAGTGGGTGTCCCATCCTACTCCACAATGAGTAACAGAAGTGAGTAAGTAAGTAATCGTTTTACAATTATTAGATTATGAAAAAGATTACGCAGTACATTTTCGTTTCGAAAAAATAAGAGTATTTCAACAATGCAATCTCTTCAGTTCATAGATTGTGAAAAGTAGTTTCTTACTATTGTTTACCATCTTTATTAAAAGTTGTATTTCGAATGAAATGTAATAAATCCATATCTAAATTACACTACATGTTTTAAAAGTGCTTATGATGTAAATAAAAATAATAATATATTTGTAATATCCCAATGAGTAGAAAATTGGATTTTCTGACGTTTCGTGACTTAGTGTAAGTCACTTTATTTTTATTTATAAAAATCAACCCAATGCTCAATTTATTCGAAATTATCAAATCAAACCTTGGTAATGACACCTACAGTGCTTATGATGGTTTAAAAAATTGAAAAATGATTAAATTATATTTTTTGGTGAGACCTGAAGGAAATTTAACTTATTTCAATGCATTGACATCTTGAATTTCCTGCTTCATGAAGTAATTAGTATCCCAACAAAAGGCGGCCTGCTTGAGCATCTGGGCTACCTGTTCCTGCCATCCAGATATTTCAATATGTTATCTATTTTTATTTGTTTTCATATATCAATATGTTTATTAATCACATGATGTATTCTGCTGCGTTTCTAAAGTGTACAACCTTTCGTTGTCAAAGTTACAAAAAACTCAATAAGAGAGAATGTGGTTGCTGGCAATATACAGCGAAATGAATGCACATTATTCAGATGTTCATTTACTGAACTGCTAACATCTAACTGGCGATCACTCAATATTTATCGCCAGGACCGACCAAGAAGAAAGAGACGGAAAATTGTTGAAATACTTTACGCTGAGAATTCTATATTGTGCCAAAAATATAATATTGAATAAAGCCGATGATAATAATAATAATAATGAGAAATAATTTTTTCATGTATAGTGGAAACGAACTTAAGATCTGGGGAATTTTAGAATCGTTTTATGCAACACATCTAATACTTACTGATAATTAATTTATGTGAAATAAATAGTAATTGCTCACAAGTTTCGTTCTTTGTTTTATTTTTTAAGTTACGAATTGGTTACTTGTAGGAACACAAATAAGTGGAAGGCAACTCGATGGTCTAAAGGTTAAGTATTAGATGCAAGACTTGACTGTTCTATGTTTGGTTTCTGTTGGGGTTGTAAATGTGCGTTATGGTTGTGTACCACACTAAAACGGATCAGCTGCCAACTGCTTCCTGGTTTCAATAGTTATCTTACTAGATTCAGTCCATGATTCAAGCTATATCTTTATAGTGATGGTTGGAAATAGGCGACAGAAAACTCTGAACTTACGTTTAGTGTTATGGAACAGCAAAGTATATCTATAATCTCAATGAAACCTCAGACAGAGATGACACTACCATGCATTCGCGGTTGCGACTGACCTCTTGTATGACTGAAATGTGTTTACAATTAATTGATCACCGAGTAACGACCAATGCCATATATCTTCAGTCCTTCTTCGCTTCCCATCATACAAGAGGCAAGTCGTGGCCCTGAAGGCTCAGAGATAACATACCCGACTACTGAGTTTAATGGCGCGGAATTGTTTCCATCAGGCAGCATTAGTGGTTACATACATACCTTACTATCAAATAGCATTAAACGTAGGTTCATAGTTTCTTGTCGATTGCCTCCAATCACCAAAATGCACCTTAATGTCGTGCATCCAAAGTCGAGTCACTTAAACTAGTAGCCATATTGCAACTTGATCGACAGAATTTGATCAGCACTAAAGAAGACATGACATGTATGACACCGACCAGTACTCAATAATCAGTCAGTAATAAATTATATCTATAATCGCTTTGATTACTTTGTTTATTATTAAAAGATTCATTTTTCTTAAGTATAGATTAGTGCACTAAGCTTCAAGTCACACTTTGACTGTGAGGTTTAGGGATAATACTAACTAGTCCAAAACCAAAGTAGGTGAAGTGGGAGTAGAACCAGCTGAAAGTTTAACACTAATGGTTACACCACACCGACACGGAATAATAAACGTCTTTGTACAATATGAATTATTATTATTTTTCAACATTTTTTTCGTCCGAATAATCAATTTTAACAGATTATTTGCCATTTAAACATATCAATGTTGAAAATCTTATTTCTATGTGTTTTATATTATTAAATACATGAAGAACTGAAAGAAATTTTCAGTGATAAATCAATCAATATAGAAACTAAAACTGTAGTCATGATAACTATATCAATAATCCAATAATCATTCAATTAATTATTGATTTCTATTTACATTTTTTGTGATTAACACTTAAATGGTTTGAATGTAAACTAGATCATTTTAGCAAGCATATTCAAGTATATGAATATGTAAATGAACGGAAATGAGTCAATTTATCCAAAATATAAATGTTTTCTGATTTTATTCCAATTAATTATAATCTAATCATTGAAAAATGAAGCCTTATCAACAGAATAATAGAATAGGACAAGGCGACACCTACTGTTATTGTATGTAACCAAAAGTTGTCAGTAATTACAATTAAAACAAATTACGAATATTATTTAGTAAGTAGTAAAATCTTTAAAAATAAATTAAAAAATAATGTTACATTGATAATTATCAATAAACAGATCAATAAGTCAGTTTGAGTATATTCTCATAAAATTGTTATTTACTTAGATATACCCCTGTTGGACAGTAATTAAAATGGATACAATGTAAACAAATAGAATGATATCTTATGCATTTCTTTTAAACATTTTTTTTGTTGTTGAAAATTCGTAGGTATCAATGCCAAATTTGAACTTGATTGTTTCAATTAGGTAGAAATTTAATAGAAAAAAATATCAGAAGGAGTTTTGTGGAGATTTTAGTAATTTCAATGGTTGAAATCAGAAGTCAATTGAAGCTAGAACACCATGGAAAACCTGGAAGTACTGAATGACCGTTTCGTTCTAGTATGGGACTCCTCAGCAGTGCGCATTTACGATCCCGCCCCCTACGAGATTCGAACCACAGGACCTATCAATCTCACGCGCAAGCACTTAACCATTAGACCACTGAGCCGGTCAGAATCCAAAGGTGTTAATGTCTAACTTCAACTGATCCACCGAATTGCGCCAAAATATTATTTTTGTTGTTGTTATATTCTAATGAGTAGAAAAATTCTATTTCTGATATTTCTTGACGTCATATTGAAGAAGTGGCTTGCATTAAGTCACGAAATATCAAGAATACAATTTTTCTACTTAAATAAAATGTAACAAACAATAATTTGAAGCAAGTATTTTTTTCAAATAATACAGACAATATAATGAGTTAAAAATCAATGCAACGTAGAAAGAAAATTTTTTTGATTTTTTCATTATGTAATAGGGAGATTAGAAGGATTAGGAGACGAAGATAGTGACAATAATATATTTCCAGGTAAATATTAACTCATGCCATTGAATCAGTTTTGTATTTACAATTGATTGATCAATCATTTGTGAGTAATCACACAGTTCCTTTTTAGTGCTGATCGAATCCTACTGGCCAAGTCGAAATGTGACCATTGGTCTAAGTGACTAGAAAATCTATGGTCTCTGTTTAAATAAAAGATGATTGAAATTAGTCTCCTGTTGACAACCCCAACCACCTTTTAAATCAATTTTGTTTCATGGACAATGTAACCAAAAGGTTTGGATCAGTAAAGTTTATCTAATGATTCATGTACCGGGCTGAGACACAAGCTATTCTTAATGTTTGGTTGACTAAATATGTTACATTTGTTCATTTATCTTAATATGTTGAGATTATATGTGTTGTAATAACGCTGAGAAACGGACTTTCCGTAATAAAAGTTCAGAACATTAATAGTGCAAGATAGATGCCGAAAACCTCCCGTGGTAACCACCAAAAATGTAAACACATTTTTTTAGAAATCTATTAATTTAGAAAATCATGAAAGTCTCTAGAAACAAATGCAGTACTACAATTGAAAAGTGCACAATCTCTTATTTCATATTAAAGATATTTATTCATAATCTCAACTACTAACAAATCATTTATCATAATATTGGTACTTCCAATTGTGATCATTGTAAATTTTACATTATTATTCTAGGTAAAAGATTCGGTGTCTACTTCACAGAGATAATGTCCAGAGTGATATACTTGCTAATAAATATTACTACTCATAAAAGGTAAAACCACCAAAAACCCTAATGTGGTTGTCGTTATTGGCTTATCCTGAAGCAGCTGACATCATAGTCGATATTTAGTGAGTGGACAATCGTACTAAATCAATAATTACGAAAAAAAACAAGAATTTTCGAGTTAAAAAACAAGTCAATAGAGAAAAATAGTAATCTAGAAAAGATGAAGTACAATTCTAGAAGAATATTGATTAAAGTCATTATTTAGTTACATTAAAATATAAAATCAGGAATTACTGAAAATTGCATAATTCTAACTACTTTTTGTGTACATATCCTTCAATAACTGCCAAGTAATATGCAATCACAGAAGTGCTTTCAGAATTAATTGATTATTTCAAGATTTTGTAAGTGAAATGTGATAAGTCTTGAGGATTGAACGCTATATTCGTCTCCTAAGCTATTCTGTAGCCCCCAAGCTAGAACTATACAGCGACCTGAACACGAGAGAGAAGACTCAAAGTACGCGAGAAGTAGTTTACTCCAAGGTTTATTTTAACACGGAAAATATAGGGTTTTTATAATATTTTTAGATGTCCTTGGGTTGCTCGAAGATTCTGGAATGCTACTAAACATAGTAGCAGTGTAACAACCAGCCAATCAGACCCTCTGCATGTGACGTTTCGCTTCTTTGATATTTTTGGCAAAAACTCCAAGTGAACGCTGACTGCACGAAACGCTTCTTAGTGATTCCTGATGCTTGCTTGTCTTTTGCAAGCAATTTTCTGGATCACTCCAACAAAATGATAACGATAAATAATATGAGACAGATCTATGTGACGAAAGAAGAATTGCATTTTGCAGTTACCGTCATATCTGGCTTCAATGTTTCAACTAGCATATTGTCAAATCTTGCTGCTTTCTCACTCTTGATTTGTCTGATGGCCATCCTGATTTCCTCAATCGTTGGCAGAGTGACATTATTTGAAGGGTCTGCGTGTGCTGCTCTGACGTCCAGTGGGTTCACTGGGGCCGGTGTATTAAACAGTTCTTCAAAATGCTCTGCCCACCTGTTCTGCTATTTTCCAGTATGATATTTTTGTTTGATGTTTTTATTTAAATAATAGACAAACTGATCGTCTTGATATTAATTGTATCAAAGATACCCTTGATACAGATTTTCTATTGTTTGCTTTGTTATCAAATTGTCTATAGCTCAAAACGATGCATATTTTGTAATTATGTAGAGCTTTTTACTAGAAAATTGTAAGCTATGGTCCTGTCGATACATTATGCAGGTGAAACACTCATCAGAATGAGGAGAGATGAGTAAGCAACTATTGTTAAGTAAATCAATAAGATCACAGAATTTCCTTTAAAAATTAAGAACAGTTTTCTGATAGCACCAGTTTCCTAACAAGTTACACATATGCTTACAGTTTAAATTACTTAATTCAACGTTTTATTTGTTAATAAGTCAATAACGATTCGTTTATACTTTTTTGAACTTTCGATGTATATTTGGTAACAATACCAGTATAACAATATGGTTAAGTTATTTAATCCATCGGGTCACTTAATCACTCATTTTTAGTAACTTTCAAAGTATATTGTAGTGGCTTAGTTTAGGTAATCAATCACCTTGATAACCGTTTTTATATAAATCAGAAGGCAATAAGAAGCGGCAACTACAGTTTATTATCGGATGGCGCAGACAACAAAGTTATAAGTACATCGAGTGAATTTGAAGAAGAAAGATTAATGTGTGTACGGTGAGCGAATATAGAGGCAAATTTATAATCAAATTAAATGGATAAGGCTAATAATAGGATCTGAGTTCATATAACATGGAGAGAAGGATGAATCATAGAGTGATATTTAAGCGATTAACATTTTGGCTAGGGAGAGATATGTGCGTAGGCTGTTATGTGATCAAGCGTACACGTTTATACACATAAGATAATGATCATAATAGTACAAAGAAATAGATAAGTTGTTACTGCTCGAACAACATTGTCTGTTAAATAGGTTAATAAAAGTGCTTAACAAAAATTAACTATAACGGAAATTGATTATAGGAGAGTTGCTATAACATCTAAATAACACTTCAGTTTAACTATCAGTATGGGGGTTGTGGAGATTGTTAAGTTTTTGGTTGAGATCATGAATTAATTGATGTTAGACCACCGTTGGAAACCTGGAAGCACTGGACGGCCGTTTCGTCCTAGTATGGGACTCCTCAGCAGTGCGCATCCACGATCCCGCACCCCGCGGGATTCGAACCCAGGACCTACTGGCTTCGCGCCTGAGCACTTAACCATTAGACCACTGAGCCGGCGTCCAATGGTGTTAGTGTCTAACATCAACCAATCCACGAAATTGCGCGACCACCTTCCATTATAATGAGGTAGATACCTGTCTCAACCAAAAACTTAACAATCTCCACAACCCCCATACTGATAATTAACATGTGCTCACTAGTGACTAGCTTCGTGAGGGAATTCTCGGAGTTCTAGTGAGAAGTCGTGACCAGTGGAGCTAATCCGTGTCGGGTAGAGACAGGTATCTACCTCAGTAGCCAGTAGGTCCTGGGTTCGAATCCCGCGGGATGCGGGATCGTGGATGCGCACTGCTGAGGAGTCCTATACTAGGACGAAACGGCCGTCCAGTGCTTCCAGGTTTCCAACGGTGGTCTAACATCAATTAATTCATGATCTCAACCAAAAACTTCAGTTTAATTTGAATTAAAACACTGATTTCATTTCATGGGAATTCTTAAGTTTCTGAACGTATACTACTGTACATTATCCTACAAGTAACTTTAAATACATGCTGTTAGTAAGTGAAACAACAAACTGTTAAATAAACTTGACAGTTTAATGATGAATAAAAGTCATTTGTGAAAGTAATTGAGTCTTTTACTGTAAACAATATAAGTTAGTTTATTTCAAAATATGCTCACCAACTACTATCAAAGAACATGTATCTTAAATTGTCCTTATTATTTAAAAAAGAAATTCCTGAAATTCTAAAATATGCTTCTCAAATTGTTTGAAATGTATTGCACAAATATATCACATAATTCTCACAACCTACCACTTCTCATTACATTGTCGAAATGCTTCCTATATGTTATATGTTGAAAACTTGATTGAAATGCAAGTAATCTTCCATAATATATATTACTCACTTTAGTGAAATATGGTAGTGAACAGTAACACGACTAGGGGTCAATCGAATGTATTTGAGCACAAATATACAGAACATCTTACTAAAATCTGAGAACCCTACCGTAAATAGTTAATTTGCAAAATATAAATCAATTGTCTCAAACATGACTATACCCTTTGCAAATATCAGTCCATCGTTTCAGATTTCATTGTTCTTGAATTTTCATACCAATTGCTTCGATCTTCTACTCAAATACATTCTATTCCTGAATATCGTTATATACTACTTATGTGGATATAAGTAGCTCACACCACAATATTATTGAATTCGATTGTATTTTCTCTACTATGAGCTTTGGTTATATTATAATGACAAGTTTGATTTGTGACAATTTTCATTCATGACTATTGTCTAGAGTCATAAACATGTTCGATGGTTTTTTCGTCTACACATACATACATACATACATACACTGACTTACCTCAATTTTCACTACATTTCAAACAAATCACTCATATACATATGCACACTCTATCGAATTGTGAATTTAGAATCGAGATATTATTATTGGATAATCAGTTAGTACAGTTAGCTCGTAGACTTTATTCATATTCGATCATTTTGATGTTTATTTATTTTCAGAAGGGGTTTTGTGGAGATTTTAGAAATTCCACTGATTGAAATCATGAGTCAATGCAAGTTAGACCACCATGGAAAACCTGGAAGCACTGAACATTAACACCGTTGGATGCCGGCTCAGTGGTCTAGTTGGTTAAGCGTCTGGCGCGATACTGATAGGTCCTGGGTTCGAGTCCCATGTGGAGTGGGATTGTGGGGTCACACTGCTGAGGGGTCCCATACTAGGACGAAACGGCCGTTCAGTGCTTCCAGGTTTTCCATGGTGTTCTAGCTTCAACCGACTCATGATTTCAATCAGTGAAGTTTATTTATTTTCCTAAAGACAGTCCAGACCAGATGGCCGAATGAAATTCTAAAGTTATTTCTTATCTCAATGGCTGAGATTTTATAAGAATCTGGTTTCATTTATGTACATGTTATATTGTGTAATATCAACAATTCATTCAGTGTAATAAAATATCGGCAGTCTTAAACAATGAAAACACTTAAAACAGGATGAAGAAAAATGCATCTTATCAATATATTTGCTACATAATTTAATAGAATAAGCGATTGGGATTCGACAGTCAGTTAATACTGTCACAAAGTAATCCACAATAAACCTAAGCTAATTAGAAATGCTTCATCTACACAATCGAAAAATGAAAAAGATACATTTTTATAAGTAAAACTTAAAGTTCAGATTACTGAAAACGTTTTTTAATTCAATACTCAATTACCTGGGATCATGATCATTAGCTTCATGATTTAAGTGACCTGAAATTTTGTATAGAAAAAAATAATACGAAAGGTGAATGATAAGAATGTTAATATGATTCTGATTCAACACCAATGTAAATTTATGCCTTATTAAAAATAATTCATCTATGTATTGGTTGTTTGAATCGTCCCATTGATGTTTAGGACTGCAATTGATCAGTCTCTTATAAGCATATGTGCATCCTTTGCGGATTGCCTCGATATTGTCTTCAGTCACATGTATTATAAGTAAAGATGGATAGTGTCTAGTAGTGGGATACAGGAGACACGTTTTGTTCTATGTGGAACTCAGTTGGATTTAAGTGCATACAGGAATTGATATTCACTCAAGGATTCGAACCCAATACAGTTAGCTTCAAACACCATCACTTATTACAAATATTTGTATATAAAGCGAAAGAATACCTTATCCAATCTTTTAGGAAAATAAAAAAATTAGTCATTTAACCTTGGAGTACTGAATGGTTAACTATCTTAAGTCTATCTATTTGAAATAATTAAGAATATAGACAATTTAAAGATACAGCGTTGTTTTGTTTTAAAGGCAAATGATCAACTTACAATGTTCTTACACTACAGAATCGTAACCTATATGTTAACCATTATAAAAATATAATCACAGTTTGATACAAGAAAGTTAAAAATGACTCAAGTATCAAAAATTTATTTTATTATTTACTGAACGAGCTCAAAGCATTAAAACGCCCTTAACAAAATACTTCAAACTGTTATTTGCCTGACCATCTAATTCAGTAAACTATCGATCTGCAAATTTGATTAAACATTAAAGCAAAACAAATGTTTATTTTTCGCTTGATGTTTGAAGACCAGTATAAAACCACTAAGTCAATCTTCAATGTCCAGCACATTTATGTTGAATAGGAATAACAAAAACATATAATATTGTGGTGTGTGCTACTGATGTCGATAGATATAATTAGTATGTTTTATCAGTCGAAAGTGAAAATCAAAGAAAAGAGAACGAGAACAGAGAGATATTTCTGTGGAAATGAAGGAACAATGGAATCTGAGACAATTGATTGACATTTTTCAAATTAAGTATTTACTGTATGGTTCTCAGATTCTATTAAGATGTTCTATAATGTTGTATTCGAATACATTCGATGGTTTTGTAGCTCAGCCTGAGCAACAAATTTTCTCCACCATCTCAAAATCATATGACAGTAGGACATTCAATGGTATCTATTTGTGTTCTCCTTTACTGCAATATAACCAAGAGTTATATGCCGTGAATTGATGGAAAAACGTTAAATGTATAATTGTTATGTTGATATATCGTCACCGATAAATAAACTGTACTTCAGCCTACATTTTGTCCTTCGATTTAAATAATATGGTGTTAGTCAGTTCAGTATCTAACAATAAGAACGTGATCTTATTTTTCATCATCGTTTCTCAAATCAACACTTTAGTTTACATGTATCTTAGTCAATACATGCAGTTTTAAACTAAGGTCTACATTGATAATGTGCCATTGTTTTAAAATCACTAAAATGTTTCCAGAGGAAATGTTCCTAAACTTCTTTTCTCAAAAAAGAAAAAGTGTCACTAACTTATAGGTGTTCTTGTGGCACAAAGAAATGTAGTTATATTATTTCTGAGAATGTCTTCACAATAGCTTTGCTTAATAAAACAAAATATGACACATAACGATTAAGAAACATTTTAGAAATAATGACAGTAATACTTAACGAGGAAGAGAATAAACATAAACTATTATTATCCGAAGTGAACAGCAATAATATACTCAGTGATACTCTAATTTATGGTCGAACTAATCAGGTTTACGATAACAGGTTTTGAATTTTGGCTCGAAACTAATTCATTCATTTGGCTAAATAGTTTTGGAATTATAGTTAATGTCAGTTCGCAATGAAAATTCTAAATCTTATTCTTTACCTTAACTATCAACTGTAAATATTAATCCTAATTACTTATACTAGTTTATAGCTCTCATTTCGTCGAAGTATGTGGATGGACATTCTCAAGATCCTTTAGCGTTGCTCAACGGTTGCCGATAAGTTAGAGTCTTACCATATATTATTTAAAAGGTTTACAAATTAGAAACAAAGAAAGCAAATTTCATTTTTCTTTATTTTGTCTATCTTATAACTAAATATTGTTGATTAGTTTAAACAAAATCAAAAATAAATGAGATGCAACTTCAAGGCATCAACATATAAACCATTGTCAGCATAAGGTTGTAGAGACTTCTGAATGTTGTTGAAACCACGAATCGATCTTACCTAGATAATCACCCAAAACCAGGAAGCTATGAATAGCCATGTTTGTAGGAATATGGGACTTATCAGAAGTGTGCATCCACGACCACACAGCCGGGAATCGAACCCAGAACTTTCGACGTAGCGCAATATTATGGACTGATTAAAGTTAGACTTATACACCACTGTATCCTGGCTCAGAGTTGTAGAGGTGATCACCGAATTTTATAATTTATATCATAAATGAATCTCAGTTGCACAATCAGTCAAAACTAGGAGGCACTAGAAAAGTGTTTTGTACTAATCTAAGGCCTGTAACATAAAGACGAGACTGTTGTCTAGTGCTTCCTGATCTTCGATGGTTTTGTAACTAACATTATTCCGTTCAGTAGACCATGAACATCACAACAGAGCATCATTATCTATTGGAAACATTTCATGTCAGAAGAATGATGACAAATAGGACACAATAGTTTACAAACAAAACAGCATTTTTATCTGGCACTTTGAGAGTTGACGTATATAAGATGCAATCCATAAAGTAAAAAGATGAATGAATGAATAATTTTCTTCATGAAATTTATAATCTTCTTAAGGGATCATGATACTTGTAAAACGTTTCACATTTAGAAGCGTATAATCACCATATCTTTCCAGTATACCAAGTAGACTATATATATATATATATTATATCTATCCATCTAATTATATACAAAGTGGATTAAAGATATCAGATTGTATACAATTTAGTAAGATAATCACATATGAAATGTAATGTGAATGATTGACAGTTTTCAACACTCAAACTTATTCACAATTGAAACGAATTATAACCAGCAAAATAAACCAAACAAAAAATGAATAATCACATTCAGTTAAATATTTAATAATTAATAATATTTGTAAATGAAGGAATATTTCTAAAAAATGAATGATCAGTGCAACTATAATTTATGGACGACCATTGAGCGAAGTTAAAGTGACCTTGGCAGTGTTCACCTAATAATTAGAATCAAATGAGGGTTATAAACGAATGTGAGGAATTCGAATTATGATTTACAATTGATGGTTAAGGTTAGGAATTAGATTTAGGGTTTTCATCATGAATTGACATAAGCTATAATGTTAAAACTCTATTTAGCCAAATAGATGAATGAATTTCGCGTCAAAATCTGAGACGTGTTTCCTTACACCTGATTGATTGATCCATAAATTATAGTCTCACCGAATGACCATTCTAATTCTAATTATTAATATAATAAAACACTAAAATCAACTCATATTTCTTTCTTCAAGTACATAGACATTTTGTTTTATCCCATCTCTTTACTATGAACTAATAGAATGAATAAAATGCTTATAAAATAACTTAAAACATATAGTCACATTGAATAAAATCAAACTTTGTGTTTAATTAGTGTATAGCTTATAAGAATATTTTGGTGGAGTTTTGTTCTCTGAGCTGGATGGTTTGGTTGTGGAGCTAATTATTATCGTCGTCTTATTAGGAAGGTTAAAAAGAAGTTTCTTTTTTTTCTAGCCATTAAATCATAATAAGATTCATGAAGTTAATTTATTTTAGTGTTTACATTCTAGAAAATATCTTCCCCTTGTGACAGTTTGTCATGTTGTTCTTTTTTTTCGTTAATAACATGATAATAAGCGACCTATATCATAATGATAAAACACGTTTCTCTTTTTTTTTGTTGTTGCTGTTGTCTTCTAACAGTTAACAATATATTCAACTTCATAATATCTAAGTAATTTTCCTCATTATTTATATTAGAAATAAGTAGTGGATATTCAATGATTGATTTTGCATACAACACATTGATTAACAATTCACTTAAGTTATAATGATTTAACATTCAATGATTTGAAGTGTTTTCTTGATTATGTCATATTGACTAAATTTAATTTGTTTATCCCTCTGTTAAATAACCTCTAGTTACATAAAAATGTAAAAACAATAATAATTAGAAAATTATTCAAGAATATTTTTATTAAAAATTCATTTTTTGTTTTGATGGTTTGAAACTTTTCATTGATGTTTAGGTGTGCAATTGATTAGTCTCTTATTATTGACATATGTGTATTCTGAACAGATTGTTTCGATATTGCCTTAAGTCACAATTATTATAAGAAATAAATCGGCTAGACTCTAACTTATAGACGATCTTTGAACGAATCTTAAGTAACATTGAGAAATATCAGCCAATCAGCAAACAGTCAGTATAGAGTAAAATAATGTTATACAAAACCAAGGAAATCAAGTGGATACACGTCTTATACGTGGTTCAAAAACTTATCAAGGTTAGAAAGAGATTCAGAGGTTCTAAAATCGTAATGCATGCAGTAGAGGAAATCATCCAGACGGCTACAGAATAGTCGGCATCTAGAGCCATGATAAAGTCCCAAAAACTCATTCAGCCTCGATCACATAGCTTCAATATTGTTTATGTGCGCTCCGGTTGTTGAGTCCACAACATGCTACTTGTGGATACGACACGATGCACATAACCAAGCTTATGTAGGAGTATGTACGCTCTCCAAACATCCGTATATATATTGTAGTACCTGGCTGCAGCCAGTGTTACTGGTGCTTTTATTATCCAGTTCGCAATAATTGTCGTAATTTGCCTTACATAGGAAATATGTATAGGGTTTTCATCACGAACTGACATCAGCTATAATGCCAGGAGTTTATTTAACCAAAAGGATGAAAGGCTTTCGCGTTAAAATTCGAGATCTATT